TGCTCCTTGTACTGTTCCATTGAATAAAATGGGGCACTATTGGACCCAATACCTGTGATCTTCTGCTCATTGTCCTAGGAAAGCATAACCTGCAAGTTGTTTAGAATCACCCATGTCACCCCATGGTTGTGTAGGGACTCCTTGGAAGCCCTTGTAATGTCCCTATGCAGTGAAAGAAAGCTTTCCCAGGCTCCTCCTCGGCTTTGACATATTGCATGAGATACCAAGCTGAAGGAAAGTCTGGGAAGACAATTTCTTACTTAGCCCTGGGTACTGCTCTGAGTATGAGGTTTAGAAGGGGAAGGGTGTTGATGCTTTTTTTTTTTTGTACGGAAGCCACTTAATCTGCAGTTATTTACCTATATAGAATATTTAAAACCAGCAAGTGGAATGTGGTGACATCAGAGCTTTAACCTCTTTCATAACAAGTGTTGGCAGGGAATTCTGTTGCATTCCAGGCTACTCTGACACAGAGAACACCTATTATCCATCCATGTACTGCTTACAAATGCAAGCTGGCAGCTAGTCCACTGTCTGACCTAATGACACCTTATTCCTTCCAGATGCAGAAAGGAGATTAGACACTGAACCAGGCCTTGTGAATTTCACTCCATAATTAGACCATGCTGTGACTAAACAAGAAGGTTTCATTCATGCCACATGGGATGTTCAGCTTTCTGCAGTCGTAAAGTAGGCTTTTAATAAAAACACAGGATGGATACTTGTGTAAAAAAGATGAATAGCAATAAGCACTCATAATGGACCAAGGTAGGAAATATTTTTTCTTTCAGCAAAAAATAATGGAGGCTAGAATACGGATGCTGTTTTACCAAGAGGTAGACATTAAGCCACAGGGTTTCTAACAAAAAACTCTACTATGATGTGCTGTATATTGCCTACTTAAAAATTGTGGAAGCTATTACTACACTCTGTAAGCTGAGTTGAATGATATATGATATACTTCTGTTAACTGAACTTTGTAATCTATGCTGTAAATTACATATTCTGGACTGCTGAACTCTGTAAACTGTGCTGTATGTCAGTGTTAATTACTGAACCCTGTATGCCATGTTGCAGATTGCATACCCCTTACTTCTTCTCTCAGGACCCTGATCTGAACCTGCAACCTCTAGCTGTATCTGGGAGTTTCTCTTCTTGCTGAGCCACCTGAGATGCTGGACAGCTCCCTGGACAATTCCTTGGACAATGTTGCCTTGTACCTTGTTTCTGGTGAACCTTGAACTCCTTGTTCCTTCCCTTAACTGCCTGTTTATGCTATTCCTTTTCACTTCCTGTTTGACAGGTTATTGTGCTACTCCTGCTGGTACATTACATACTCCTGATCAGTGCACTCTATATTCTATGAAGTATGCTACATATTCCTGACCACTTCACTCTGTAAAGTTCACTGTATTTTACATACTCCTGACCACACAACTTTATATGCTTCAATGTACATTACATACTTCTGACCACTCAACTTTATATACTTCGATGCACATTACATACTCCTGACCACTCAACTTTATATGCTTCCATGTACATTACATACTCCTGACCACTCAGCTTTATATGCTTCAATGTACATTACATACTTCTGACCACTCAACTTTATATGCTTCCATGTACATTACATACTTCTGACCACTGAACGTTATATGCTTCCATGTACATTACATACTTCTGACCACTGAACGTTATATGCTTCCATGTACATTACATACTCCTGACCTCTCAACTTTATATGCTTCCATGTACATTACATACTCCTGACCACTCAACTTTATATGCTTCCATGTACATTACATACTCCTGACCACTCAACTTTATATGCTTCCATGTACATTACATTACTCCTGACTCACCACTCAACTTTATATGCTTCCATGTACATTACATACTCCTGACCACTCAACTTTATATGCTTTGATGTACATTACATACTCCTCACCACTCAACTTTATATGCTTCGCTGTACATTAAATACTCCTGACCACTCAACTTTATATGCTTCCATGTACATTACATACTTCTGACCACTCAACTTTATATGCTTCCATGTATATTACATACTCCTGACCACTCAACTTTATATGCTTTCATGTGCATTACATACTGCTGACCACTCAACTTTATATGCTTCAATGTACATTACATACTCCTGACCACTCAACTTTATATGCTTCAATGTACATTACATACTTCTGACCACTCAACTTTATATGCTTCCATGTATATTACATATCCTGACCACTCAACTTTATATGCTTCCATGTACATTACATATCCTGACCACTCAACTTTATATGCTTCCATGTACATTACATACTCCTGACCACTCAACTTTATATGCTTCAATGTACATTACATACTCCTGACCACTCAGCTTTATATGCTTCAATGTACATTACATACTCCTGACCACTCAACTTTATATGCTTCAATGTACATTACATACTCCTGACCACTCAACTTTATATGCTTCAATGTACATTACATACCACTGAACTTTAAATGCTTGTATACTCCTGGCCACTGCACTCTTTATCCAGTGATCCCACATGGGCACTGTTATAAGAAAACCCTTTGAGTCTCAAAGTAGTAAAATAATTTCTGCAACTGCAGGCATTAATTAGAGGCCCTCAGTCAACAGAACAAAGGGGCAGGAGTTCTTGTCTGAAAGGATGTTTGAAAATACTTTCTAATGCTAAAAAAAGTTTAAAAAAAGAAGATAAGAATGCAGGACTTTAAATCATTTTTTTTCTCTTTTCACCAATAAAACATTTGTTTTTATGTGCAGTTAATGGGAAATTCAATATATTGTGCATTATTCTCGTGGTACATTAGATACTATCTAGAGGTAAAGACTATGGGCTATTGGTTGTATAGTCAGTAACTATATTTGTTTCCCTAGAGAAGCGTACTCCTCCTCTGTAGATAATATCCCACAACATACAGAATATTTCCAGCAATTTCATGTTATAGACAAGGACTTTTGTTCTATTAGATATACAGTATATCAGAATAGTGGAGTACTCTGATAATCAATAACCTCCCCACTGTCTTAGTCCTTCTACTCTTTCTTGGTGAGGTTGTTCTTTCTGGAACAAGTTACATAAAGAGTGTTACTCGATATTCTAGCATCATTGATCAGGCTAGACATATATTTAGGGGCATATTCTTGGTAGGACCCTTCAGAGAAGAAAGCAAGAGTGGAAAACAGAAACAGTTATTGCCCCTTTTCCTCCTTCCATTTTGGCTGTGTTTTGGAGAAACCTGAAGAACACATAAATGGGAATGCACATTCTGTAACACTGTTCTTAACCACGCTGTCTTTAAAGCAGAAGTAGACTGTCTCTGAGCACCGCATACTGAAAAACATATTTAGTTCATTTTTAATATTCAAAGCAAATTCACCCATCCATCTATGCCTCCATGCATTGTTTTGTTTAGAAATCACTTTGAAAAACATCCCTCTTAGCATTTCTAGCCATGGCCTTCTTGAGTAATGGCAGCTGATTCATGTAGCATTTACTTCCTGGAATCCATCTGCCCTTAGCTCAGATATGCAGGCAGGAAGCTTTGCCTAGCTGAGAAAGCCCTCCTCCCCATGAATACTTCAATGATGTATAACATCATTTTGCCTTAAACCTGGAAACAAGGAAGCAACTGAAGAAAAAATGTTTAAAACAAGTAAATATAGTATAAGATCCTTTTTATTTACTAAGACTTAAGGATTACAAATAGTCAATGCTGGCTGAGAGAGTTTAGTTCTGCTTTAAAATGCAAGCATACTGAATGCAAAATGCATGTATGCAAAGGGAAACTTAAAGCAGAACTGTATCCTAAAGGAGAAGTTAGGGCCCTTGACCCACCTGACTTTTCCATAGCCTCCTGGGATACACATCGCACATCCCAGGTGGTTACAGGACCAGTCTCTCTACAGCCCAAGATCTCACGCATGCGCAGTATGGGCTGTGAGTAATCTGGAAGTCAGTGACAGATGGCCATGCCAAATATCAAAAACCCTGCCAACAATTGGGTGCAGGGAAGACAGTGCAGTACTTCATGGGCTGGTCAGTATGTGATTCTTAAATGTCAGCAGCAGTACTTGTAGCTGATGACTTTTAATTTTCCTGTTGACTTTTCTTTTTAAGTTGGGAAAAAAGGGAAAAAAACGCAGCTGCGTGTGTAAACAGGGATCACTATGTTGCCTCTTTAGTTGAGATACTCTTTTAAAATCTTTCTAGGAAGGAGAATTAGTTCATTTCCTCCTGGCAGGATCATATAAATACTTGAGGTGAAGCTTAGCTGAAGTGACCTGCCTAGCCAATAGGAATATAAGAACTAGGACCAAAAGAGATGACATAAGGGACTACCCTGCACCCATGAGATTGGGCACATCAAGGTACACCACCATCTGAAACAGACCTCCATGATTAATTGAGAGGATGTTGATTTAATGGACTTGTGAAGAGAACTGTTTCAATGAAATCGAGTTGAACAGAGCCTATGGCTGCTTCTTGTGTCTGAATTAAAACCTTAGTAACCTTGCTTCTGTGAACTAGACTCTCATCTCTTGAGGTACCCACATAGGGAAAAGGGATGCTGGTGTACCCAACTGTGTGCAAATCTATATGTATTACCACTGTTCAAGATAGAGAGACTCCCAATATCCAAGCACAACTCCTCATGTAGGTGCTAACCCAGCTAGTGTGCTGTATAGATGAGAACAAAGGACGTCCGATCAGCTGCACTCCAAACAATCCACATTATTGAACCAAGATAAAACCAATACAGACAGTGGAAATACATAGTTACATAGTTAGTCTGGCTGAAAAAAGACAAAAGTCCATCCAGTTACACCATAGAAAAAAAAGGTATAACCCTATACCCACAGTTGATCCAGAGGAAGGCAAAAAAAAAAAACCCAGCAAATCATGAGCCAATTTGCTCCTACTGGCAAAAAAATTCCTCCCTGATCCCCCAAGAGGCAATTGGATATTCCCTGGATCAACTTTACCTATAAATGTTAGTATCCAGTTCAGACTGACCATTTGGAAACTAGGGCGATGCCCGAGGGCCCGGGGTCAGTAGGGGGCCCCATGAGATGCCCCTGGTACCTTTTTCATAGGCTTTTTTGAGTTTGGGCAAGGACACGGGGGCCCCATGATCCTCTATTGCCCGGGGGCCCCATGAGTTGTCAGTCCGCACCTGATCCAGTTATATCCAGTCACGAAAAAGCGCTGTCTTTAGCATGAAACACGTTTACCTGCCAGTCGTCCACTGTATTTCCATGGTTTGTATTGGTTTTATCTTGGTTCAATAAAGTGGATTGTTTGGAGTGCAGCCGATCGGACGTCCTTTGTTCTCATGTGTGAAAACCTAGTCAGGCTATGGGATGGTGGTGGATGGTAGCCTATTCTGGAACCACGCACAAGATACGAGACCTGGTGCAATGAGTGTCCTTAATCAGATGAGCAGTGCTAACTGAAGTTACCAGGAGTATGGTGAGTCTTGTCTTAGGCACACCTTACATTGAGGTGTAAAGGTGGAGAACAGTAATTAAAGGCTGTGGACTATGTGCGGCCTGGGAGTTAAGCCTTAGTCTGCCCCATTATAGGCAGTCCCTGGTGGAGGACATGTAGTGACTCAGTCACGTTTGGGGGCTCTTCCTACATGTGCACAATGCATACCAGTGCACTCATTATGTACCCCTAAGCGTGCACCCGCATGTACGATATGTGCCAGAATAATATTACTTTGTATTATGTATGCTCAATATATTCCTGAACATTTCACGGTACTTAGTACTTGAAAAAATAAACGGCAGAAAATTTGCATGTGCTTCTAAGCAATAATTAAAAGTGGTAATGTATACCACATTCAAGTTTATGATTCTTTTTAATAATGAAGCGCTACTTACCTTTTAATTGTTAAAATATATACCTAGAGGTGCGCGGCCCTGTGCTTTAAGCTGCAAAACACCCTGGAATCCCGCCAACCAAGGCTGCTCAATATGCAAGAAGCGACAATCTGCCTGCTTTATAGCTCACACACAAGGATGGTCCGCTCTACTACTTTTTGCTGCTATTCAAGTCTGCAGCCAATTTAAAAACACTGGAAAACTACAGTTGGTTTTAGGTGAGTACTGGGTGTAAATTGAACAATATGTAGTAGGTGCCTGTCCAGTGCAGTATACTCTATGGCATCAGAGTGGGGTGCATCAAGGAGGGCATACCCCAAAAAATAAGCAGGCAAATCCATGTCATTTACAATTTTTATGTATTAAAAACATTATTCTAAAAGCAACCTCACACAGCAATGCTCCTGTATACTGTATGCAAAAACTGCTAAGTTATGTAGTTTCAATTTGAACTATCATATAAAGGCACAATTCCAAGAGGAAAAAACAGGCGCTTGCCTACTAAGACATTTTTAAAAAATTGTTCTCACATGTTACAATCTGCACTTTTTGCTAGAAATTTTCAAATAATTAAATTTTCTGAAATCAGAGGCCCTAGAGAATATAATGGTGGCAGTTGCATTTTTTATGCAAATGCATATGTTTGGGTAAAAATACACTAAAAGGAATTTTAGTGCAAACAAATACACTTTTTAAATAAAATATAAAAAAATGGGATTTCAGCAAGTACATGGATACCAAACATGTCCATCCATAAAACTGTGTGCCATACCTGTGCCATTAACAGTTTATTACAGTCCCTGTTGATCATAATCTGTAATTTGGTTTTAGCTGGTTATTTCTACTGATCCTTAATAAAGTGAAGACAAACATAGGATGTAGGCAGGGACTTATTCTCCCTGTCCCTAATCTTATTTCAGTTTCACTAGTGGAATTGAATGCTGTATTTTTATTATTATTATTATATTTGATTGAAATTGTGTGCCAACCTGGAAAATCACAGAAAAACTGTGGTACCCAAAATTCTCCATAAGTGATGCTATAAAAGGATGTTCAGCTTATCAGGTTAGAGCCATGAATTATGGCCCTAGAATTATTGCTCTCACTCTGGCATTTATGGAAATATCTCACATGTCTGGTGTGATTTACAACCCCAATTCTAAAAAAAGTTATGCCGCTGTGTGAATTCTACAGAAAAAGAGAATGCAATGATTTGTACTCATATACCCATATTAAGTATTCCCAAAAACCAGAAAAAATCAAATGTTTAAACTGAGAAAATGTACCATTTTAAGAAAAAAATAAGGTAGTTTTCAAATTGATGGCAACGACACATTTCAAAAAAGTTGGGACAGACCAACAAAAAAATGTCAAAGCAAGTGGTACGAACAAAGAAGAGTTGGAAGACCATTTTGCAAACTAATTAGGTTAGTTGGCAACAGGCCAGTTACATACTTGAGTATAAAAAGAGCATCTTAGAGAGTTAGAGTGTCTCAGAAGTAAAGCTAAGCAGAGGTTCACCAATCTGTGAAAAGCTGCATCTAAAAATTGTTGAACAGTTTCAGAATAATGTTCCTCAATGTAAAATTGCAAAGACTTTAGATATATCATCATTTACAATATATAATATCATCAAAAGATTCAGGGAATCTGGAGAAACCTCTGTGTGCAAGGGATGAAGGCCTAAACGCAATATTGGATGCCCTCTGAATTAAAAAACAGGCATGATTCTGTGATGGACATCACTGCATGGGCTCAGGAATACTTCCAAAAATAGCGATGGTAGACAGTGTAGGGGGGGGGGGGGGTGTAATACGCCATTGCTCATTGCCCATGGAACCCCTCGCACCCTCAGATGAAGGAAGCCTCCTTTCATTTTTTAATCTCATATTTATTTTCAAAAACATTATTAGTGATGACTATGAATGAATAATAGTACAGAACTACAAGATGTTTTCAGTCTATACGAGTTGAACCGAAAGGCGCCTGTTGTGGTTAGCAAGATTTGCTTGCCATTGCTGTGCAGCGAAGAAACAGCTAGAGCTGTCAGGTTTTACAGAACACGCTTCATCAGAGGAGTGAGCCTGGGATTCGATAATAACTCCACACAATCATTACCAAGTCCCAGAACTCGAGGAGTCATTACTGAATCTGAGCGCTCACAAATCAGATTTTTCTGATTGTGGTTTGGAAGACTTTATTGATGCTGCATATAAATATTATTGACAAAGCTGCCCCACAAAAATATAATAGAAATCAAATGCAAAAAAATGGGTAGGTTTTTTTTTTTTATTTTATTATACCAAATTTTATAGGAATACTATAACAATATAATATAATAATATAACAGTAAAATTATTTTAAAAATACTATGACAATAAAATATAATAATAGAGCAACAGAACTTTTTTTTTATATAAGACTAATAGAACAATATAATAGAGCAATCAAATTAATAATAATAATACATAATTGTCATATGGGGTGATTAAATTCAGTGGTGGGGAGCGTTGTTAGTGCGTTCATGTCAGTCCGATCTGTGGTTTAAAATGGAAGGCAAGTCAAACCCTAACTAAACTTACATTTACTCATACCCCAATCTAAGCTTATTATATTTACCCTGTAAAAGGACAGATGTCTCCACTTACCCATTCTGAAATTGCTCCAGTCTGGTCATATGACCAGCTTCCAGTGCCACCTTCAGTGTAGAGGATGGACAGCTGACAATGGATGCCCCATAGCAAGCCTATGGATGACATCATTGCTGAGGCTCTGCAGCCGTTATCAATGATCTCTTCTCTACACTGAAACTGGCACTGAAGACATCATGTGACCAAACCAGAGCTACTTCAGAATAGCTAAGCATAGGCATCTTTCCATTTACAGGGTAGAGTAGGTTTAGAAAAAGGGTGGGAGTAGATTTAAGTGTAATGCCCTCTAGTGTAAGATAGGTTTTAGTGCAAGATAGGTTTTAGTGGCTTGTTAGAAGCCTAGGTATGAGTCAGCCTGGGAGTGAGTCAGTGAGGTTACTTAAAGTTAAGGCTGGAGGGCTCTACAGATAAGTTTTTTGTTACCTCCCCCTGCACTAGAAACTTGGAGAAGTTTCTAGAAGTCAGTAGGCAGGGGTGAGGAGGGGCTGATCTTCATAATTAAGGGAATCTTGTCAATCCCCAGGCAGGAGGCCTGGCATGGTGGCTAGGTGAGCCATTAAATATGACAGAGTCTGGACAGCAGGGGAAGTTGGGTGGAATATGAAGTAAGGAAGTGCTGCTGGTGTGGAGCCTGGGAGGGAGCCCCAGAGGAGGGGGGTCTGCCTACAGCCTAGAAGCTGGAAAGAAGGACCTCAATTGTCCCACAGTCTATTGGGGAAAGACAACCTGTCAGCAGAGAAGGAGCCTGTCAGGAATGGGCTCAGCACAGGTGGTGCTGGGGCTCACCTGCCTTGTGGGCTGCAGTACCAGTGCTGGCCAGCGGGTGCTCTCAGCAGCCAGAATCTCACTCCTGCAATCAAGCCATCACCTGAGGCTGATTGCAGGAGGTGTATTTAAGCAATGGCCAGGCCTGCAGTCAGTGCCTTGGTGTTTTTGTTTACCATGAGCCCCTGTACCTGGTCCTGTCGTCTGCCTGCCTGTTTCCCCTGCTTGACTCTGACACTGATCGAACTCTGCCTGCACTGACCTCGGCTATTTCTGACCTTTCCCCGGCCTGCTCTGTTTGTACCTTTTCTGCCCGATTATTCCTGACCCGGCCTGCCTGACCACTCTACCTCTCCAGCCTGACTATGCCTGTCTGTGTTCCTGAACATACTGACATTAGTTGGAGGTTTGGTTTTGTTTGTACTGTGCGTTGTATACTTGTGTAGTTCCTAATAAATTATATTCTTATCCTGAAGCCTGCGTTTCCCTGTGTCAGTCCGCACACCTCTGATCATACCTGGAGCCCTGACATAACACCAAGGCCAATCCTGACCAGAAGTGGCTGCACAGGGAAGCCATCTTGGCTTGTTGTTGTGAAGGATGCATCCGGAGGAGATTATATACTTGTGTTTGCTAGTCTTAGATGAGAGAGAATATGCCTATCAGACTCTGCAGGAGTATGCCAGGGATCAGCTGCTAGAGTGCATACGGGTCGCTCATTCCCTAATAGATCAGGGCACGGAGTTCTCTGAGGTGCAGCCATTGATTCAGGCTTGTGCTGAGTTGGCTTCATCTAGTACCCCTGAAAGCAGGAATGACTTTTTTCCACCATTCA